CGCAGTCGAAAGGGAAGCAGTCTGTCCTGGCGTCAACAGGACTTGGCTCCCCCAGCTCAAGCAGATGTTTAAAGGCCGAACTCCTACGTGAACAGTTAACGGGTGCGGGGGGGGGGGGGGGGGCTTGATTCCATTAGAGTGTCGGGGGAGGGGCTTAGGAAGGGATTGTGGCGGATTAGGTTGCCGGGTGCAGCTCGAGATCAGATCGCGATGACTTCCTAAGGAGACACGGGAGGGTGGAAGCAGAGCGCCCTGTCTCTGGCGCATCACGGGGTCGTCCCTCCCTTACCTGCAGGCCTCACCTGTGCCTGCCCCGATGGGGCCCCCAATCTCGGACTGGGAACCTCCAGAACTGTGACTCAGAATAAACCTTCGTCCTTCGTAGGCAGTACCTCTCAGGCGTCTTACAGAGCTGACTGATGTAGACTCAGTTTGAAAACAACGGGCTTGGCTTTGAGCAGACGTTTCTCCAAGATGCGCAAAGGGCCAGAACACACGTGAACAAAGGCTACACGGCATTAGCCACCAGAGAAAAGCAAATCACCACAGGAGGTCCGCTCCTCACCACAGGAGGTACTGCCCCACACCACAGGAGGTACTGCCCCACACCACAGGAGGTACTGCCCCACACCACAGGAGGTACCGCCCCACACCACCACAGGAGGTACTGCCCCACACCACCACAGGAGGTACTGCCCCACACCACAGGAGGTACTGCCCCACACCACAGGAGGTACTGCTCCACACCACAGGAGGTACTGCCCCACACCACAGGAGGTACTGCCCCACACCACCACAGGAGGTACTGCCCCACACCACAGGAGGTACCGCCCCACACCACAGGAGGTACCGCCCCACACCACAGGAGGTACTGCCCCACACCACCACAGGAGGTACTGCCCCACACCACAGGAGGTACTGCCCCACACCACCACAGGAGGTACTGCCCCACACCACAGGAGGTACTGCCTCACACCACAGGAGGTACTGCCCCACACCACAGGAGGTACTGCCCCACACCACAGGAGGTACTGCCCCACACCACAGGAGGTACCGCTCCTCACCACAGGAGGTACTGCCCCACACCACCACAGGAGGTACTGCCCCTCACCACAGGAGGTACTGCCCCACACCACAGGAGGTACTGCCCCACACCACAGGAGGTACTGCCCCACACCACAGGAGGTACCGCCCCACACCACCACAGGAGGTACTGCCCCACACCACAGGAGGTACTGCCCCACACCACAGGAGGTACTGCCCCACACCACCACAGGAGGTACTGCCCCTCACCACAGGAGGTACTGCCCCACACCACAGGAGGTACCGCTCCTCACCACAGGAGGTACTGCCCCACACCACAGGAGGTACTGCCCCACACCACAGGAGGTACCGCCCCACACCACAGGAGGTACCGCCCCACACCACAGGAGGTACCGCCCCACACCACAGGAGGTACTGCCCCACACCACAGGAGGTACCGCTCCTCACCACAGGAGGTACTGCCCCACACCACAGGAGGTACTGCCCCACACGACAGGAGGTACTGCCCCACACCCCAGACGGTACTGCCCCACACCACCGGAGGTACATGCCCCACACCACCACAGAGGTACTCGCCCAACCAACAGGAGGTACTGCCCCAACACGACAGTAGGTACTGCCCCACACCACAGGAGCGTACCGCCCCACACCACAGGACGGTTACCGCCCCACAACACAGAGGTACTGCCCCACACCACAGGAGGTACCGCCCCACCACCACAGGAGTTACTGCCCACACTCACAGGAGGTACTGCCCTGCTCAACCAAGGACGGTACAGCCCCTCCACCACAGGAGGTACCTGCCCCACACCCACAGGAGGTACTGCCCCCACACCACAGGAGGTCCCGCCCTCCCCTCACCACCACAGGAGCGGTACTGCCCCACACCACCGGAGGTACCGCCCACTTCTCTCACCCACAGGAGGTAGGGTACCGCCCCTCACCACACGGAGGTACTGCCGCACACCCACAAGGAGGTACTGCCCCACAACCACAGGACGGTACCGCCCCACACCACAGGAGTATGCCCCAACACAAAGGAGGTACTGCCCCCACACCACAGGAGGTACTGCCCCACACCACAGGAGGTACTGCCCCACACCACAGGAGGTACTGCCCCTCACCACAGGAGGTACCGCCCCTCACCACAGGAGGTACTGCCCCACACCACAGGAGGTACCGCCCCTCACCACAGGAGGTACCGCCCCACACCACAGGAGGTACTGCCCCACACCACAGGAGGTACCGCCCCTCACCACCACAGGAGGTACTGCCCCACACCACAGGAGGTACTGCCCCACACCACCACAGGAGGTACCGCCCCACACCACAGGAGGTACTGCCCCACACCACCACAGGAGGTACTGCCCCACACCACAGGAGGTACCGCTCCTCACCACAGGAGGTACCGCTCCTCACCACCACAGGAGGTACTGCCCCACACCACAGGAGGTACTGCCCCACACCACAGGAGGTACCGCTCCTCACCACAGGAGGTACTGCTCCTCACCACCACAGGAGGTACTGCTCCACACCTACTGGGTGCCTCAAGTAAAGATGGCAGCTAATAAGGAACATTATGAGGGTATGGGGAATCTGCCCCTTCATACATTCCTCAAAAACGTAAACGGGGCTGTCCCACGACTAAGCAGTTCCACTCCCAGCTACGAGTGTTCGCCAGCTTTTCGTTATTTTACCTGAAATACACAACAGAATCCCTGGGCAAAATGTTCACAGCAGCATTATTTACAACAGCCCAAATGCCCACTAACCAATGAATAAAGAAAACGTGGCACCCCTCACAACAGAGTACTCCCCGCCAGCACAACGGCATGTAGAACCGACAGGTGCTACAGCGTGAATGAATCTTGAAACCATCATGGAGAGTGAGGGACGACAGCAAAAGGTCACACAGTGGACAACTCGACTTATGTGAATGACCCGGATAGATAGAGGCAGGAAGTAAGGCAGTGGCCGCCAGGGGCGGCAGGAGAGACGTGGGAACGACCTCTAGTGGGTGCAGGGTTTCTTCTGCGGACGACAGAAGTCTCTAGAATTAGACAGTGATGATCACACCACTTGGTGAATGTGCCGAAAGACCTGGAAGTGCATATTTTAACATGATTTGTTCTATGATTTATGAATTATTTTTCAAAAAAAAAAACAAAAGAGAAAAATGAGACTGGCATATAGTTTGTCAAAAATAATCAGGTCTAAAAAGACAGTAATAAAATATTTCAAATGACAGATTTTAAAATGTTCATAAAGATAAAGGGTGAGGTCGCGGAAGACCATCCCCAAGACGGCTTTTCCTCGTGGCCTCACACTGCCACCTGCCCCCTGAGCCAGAAGCCTGGGGACCTGCTCCCATCAAGAGCTGTCTCCTGAGGCGCAGAACGGTTTGAGGGTGTGGACTGGACTAATGGCCATGCACCCTGGCCCTCTGGCACTCAGGAGAAGGTCAGCACTGGGACAAATGAATGAGCAAACACTGCTTCTCTACCTCCCCCAAGTGCCCGTGCAGCCCTCATTACATCCGTAACTCAGTACCCAGGGCAGGGAACCTCATTCGGTACCTGATTAGCGTGACCGTGAGAACCATGGAGGCAAACCCAGGGCAGCTGCCGTCATCACTGAAATCATTGTCCTAGTCCCCCAAATCCCAGAAGTAGGACTCCACTGTCATGGGTCCCCTGGCCCCAGCTTGTCACGGGAGGTCACCGCCTGGTTTCTTTGTGGGTGATTTAACATCTGTGTCCCTGCCAGATCCCAGCCCCAGGCAGCCGGCGTCATGGATTCACAGCACCTGCTCTCAGGGTCCTTTAATCCACTGAGAGGCTCCCAGAATGGAGAGGGGATGAGCTGGACTCCACAGACAGACAGACAAGGTGCTGAGCCTGGCCCCACCCGACCAGCCGACAGACCTCAAACGTGGCACTCTTCATCACTTCGTGCCCAGTTTCCTCATCAGTAAGAGGCGGAGGCTGAAAGCCCCAGTGTGGAAGGGTTGTGGGCAGGATTAAAGGAAACCAAGCAAGTGAAGTGCTGGGGCGTCCAGCCGGCCTAGCTGCTGCCACGAGGAGTCAACAGGTTTGTGGAAAACGGAATGAAAAGAGTCAGCTTATTTTGGTGTAGAAGCATTTTGAGGGGCCGGCGCTGTGGCACAGTAGGTTAAGCCTCCACCTGCAGCATTGGCATCCCATATGGGCACCAGGTCCAGTCCTGGCTGCTCCACTTCTGATCCAGCTCTCCGCTATAGCCTGGGAAAGCAGTAGAAGATGGCCCAAGTGCTTGGGCCCCTGCACCCACATGGGAGACCCAGAAGAAGCTCCTGGCTCCTGGCTTCGGATTGGCGCAACTCTGACCATTGTGGCCATCTGGGGAGTGAAACAGCAGATGCTAGACCTTTCTCTGAGACTCTAAACCTTACTAATCTGAGCACTAAACCCAACCAAAATGAGCACCTACTATGTGCCAGGCACTGTATCTTAGCTCAGCATAAAAGAAGAAATGTAGGCTCGCAGGTCAAACAACTTGCTCTAGAACATCAGAGAATGCAAAGAACAGCGCTCAGTCTGGCCCCATCGCTGCAGGATTCCAGCCAGCGGGAGCATGGTGGCTGCGTTCCTTGTTTCTACAGAGAGCCACAGGACACTGGCTGTGCAACAGTTACACTGAACTGGGCTCGAATCCCACTCCAACACCTACGTGCTGTGTGACCTTGAAAAACTGGCTTAGTCATTCTGAATGTAATCCTGTCTTCCTGGGTAGGGCTGTATGGCTTAAATAAGACAGATGGCATCAGTAACGCACCTGACACATTGTGAGTCTAAACAAATGTTACAGCCGCTCTGGGACAAGTCCCAGTGGGCTCCCAGAGAACTGGGAGAAAAACGAAGGGACGCGTGGAGGGTTGGGAGAGGAAAGAAGGGATAAGGTTGGGGGGGGGGTCTTACTCCTTCACTTCCACCCATCCTGGCCGGTGGCGAAGGACATCCATGAGCGTGTTCATGAGGGTGGTCTTGAACCGGATTGATGCCCTCTGCTCTCTGCAAGACAAGGCGTCAGAACACTTGTTCAGCACTAACAAGTTTCCTGGGATGGCCCAGGGAGAGGAAAAGAGGAGGAAGAGGGTCAAGTTCCACAAAAACCAAATTAACCAATCATAGCACAACAACACTTAAATTGAGAACTACGAGAATCTTTGAGTCATTAAAAAATAGCAATCAATTTATCCAGCGCCCACTGGGTGCCAGGCATGGTGCAGTTGCTTTACATGTACCCTATTTTTTTTTTTTAATATTTACTTATTTGAAAGCAGAGTGACAGAAGGAGGAAGGGAGAGACAAAAAGAGAGAGGTCTTCCATCCACTGTTTCACTCCCCAAATGGCTACAACAGCCAGGTGTTTGCCAGGAGCCAGGAACTTCCTCCAGGTCTCCCACATCAGTGGCAGGGATCCAAGCACTCGGGCCGTCTTCCACTGCCTCCCCAGGTGCATCAGCAGGGAGCTGGATCAGAAGTGGAGCAGCCAGGGCTTGAACAAGCACTCCAACATGGGATGCTGGTATCACAAGCAGTGACTTAAGCCACTGTGCCACAACGGTGGCCTCTAATTCTTCTATCCAGTGCTGAATGTTTCCAATTCCCTTTCCTAGCAGCCATCTGTGAAGATGGAGAAGCACAGTTTTCACCAGTCCTCCTATGAATACAACCAAAAACCCAAGATACTCTACATAGAACAGACGTAAGACCAAAAGGTAGAGACGGCAGACTGGCAGAGGACCTCAGAAACAAAGCATGGGGCCAGTGTTGTGGTAACGTGGGTTAAGCTGTCACCCTCAAAGCCGGCATCCCGTACAGGCTCTGGTTTGAGTCCCAGCTGCTCCACTTCCAAGCCAGCTCCCAGCTAATGCACCTAGGCAAGCAGCAGAGGATGGCCCAAGTGCTTGGGCCCCTGCACCCGCATGGGAGACCAGGAGGAAGAACCTGGCTCCTGGCTTCCAATCAGCACAGCGCCGGCCATAGCAGCCATTTGTGGGGTGAACCAATGGAGGGAGGACCTTTCTCTCTGTCTCTCTCTACCTGTCAAATAAATAAAAAAGAAGAAGAAGAAGAAAAAATTCATTCTGTGAAGTGTTAACCTGATAGCAGAACCAGACAGGAATGGTACACAGAGAGAAAACTCATGAATATGGATGCAAATAGGATTCAGCCTAACATAAAAAGAATTACACACGGGGCCGGCACTGAGGCGTAGCGGGTAAAGCCGCTGCCTGCAGTGCTGGCATCCCATGTGGGCACCGGTTCGAGTCCCAGCTGCTCCACTTCTGATCCAGCTCTCTGCTCTGGCCTGGGAAAGCAGTAGAAGATGGCCCAAGTCCTTGGGCCCCTGCACCCACGTGGGAGACCTGGAAGAAGCTCCTGGCTCCTGGCTCCTGACTTCGGAGTGGCCCAGCTCCAGCATTGCAGTCACTTGAGGAGTGAACCAGTGGATGGAAGACCTCTCTCTGTCTCTCTGCCTCTCCTTCTCTCTGAGTAACTCTGACTTTCAAATAAATAAACAAATCTTAAAAAAAAAAAAAATAATTACACACCACAGCCAAGTGGAGTCCACGTCAGCAGCAAGGCTGACTCGGTACTTGTCTCAGTCTGTGTACTGGTGCTATAACAAAATACCTGTGGCTGGGCACTTCATCATGAAAAGAGGTTACTCAGCTCACAGCTCTGGGGCCTAAGAGCATGGCACCAACCTTCCTCGGCTGCTGGCCCGGGCCTCCTGGCGGGTGGCATCACAGAGCAAACAGAGTGGGCACAAGCCGTGAGCAGGCACATGTGGAAAAGCACCAGCCAGAGAGAGAGGCCAAGGGGAGGCTGAGCTGCTCTGTCACAACCCACGCGCATCCACTCCCCCAGGAGCCACCCTGCTCCCTGCCCGAGGGTGGCACCCCTCACCCCACACACCACTCCAAGGCCCCAGCGCTCCTCAACACCATTTCACTGGGAATTAACTTTCAACCTGAACCTTGGTGGGGACCAAGCACATCCGTTAGAACAGCAATCAAGGGGCCGGCGCCGCGGCTCACTTGGCTAATCCTCCGCCTGTGGTGCTGGCACCCCGGGTCGGGGCGCCGGATTCTGTCCCAGTTGCTCCTCTTCCAGGCCAGCTCTCTGCTGTGGCCAGGGAGTGCAGTGGAGGATGGCCCAGGTGCTTGGGCCCTGCACCCCATGGGAGACCAGGAGAAGCACCTGGCTCCTGGCTTCGATTGGCGCAGTGCCGGCCGTAGCAGCCACTGAGGGGGAGAACCAACAGAAAGGAAGACCTTTTTCTCTGTCTCTCTCTTTTTCACTGTCTAAATCTGCCTGAAAAAAAAAAAAAAGAAGAAGAAGAAGAAGAATAGCAACGAGGTCATCCACCTGCTAACAGACTAAGGAAGAGACATCGCAGTGTCACATCCCCTGACGCAGAAGTAAACACTCTGAAGGAGGACGGGGCCTGTGCTGTGGCGTAGCAGATAAAAACTGCTCTGGTTCAAGTCCCAGCTGCTCCACTTCCGATCCAGCTCCCTTCTAATGTGCCTGGGAAACCAATAGAAGACGCCCCGAGTCTTTGGGTCCCTGCACTCGTGTGGGAGACCTAGAAGAGGCTCCCGGCTTCGAATCGGCACAGCTCCAGCCATTGCAGCCACTTGGGGAGTGAACCAGCATCGGATGGAAGACCTCTCTCTGTCTCTCCCTCTCTAACTCTACCTTTGAAATAAATAAATACATCTTTAAAGGCTGGCGCCGCAGCTCACTAGGCTAATCCTCTGCCTGCGGGGCTGGCACACTGGGTTCTAGTCCCAGTTGGGGCGCCAGATTCTGTCCTGGTTGCCCCTCTTCCAGGCCAGCTCTCTGCTGTGGCCAGGGAGTGCAGTGGAGGATGGCCCAAGTGCTTGGGCCCTGCACCCCATGGGAGACCAGGAAAAGCACCTGGCTCCTGGCTTCAGATCAGCGTGGTGCGTCTGCCGCAACGCATCAGCCGCAGCGGCCACTGGGGGGTGAACCAACGGCAAAGGAAGACCTTTCTCTCTGTCTCTCTGTCTCTCTCTCTCTCACTGTCCACTCTGCCTGTCAAAAATTAAAAAAAAAAAATACATCTTGGAAAAAAAAAAAAAAAGGAAACAGACAAAAGGAAACACTGATTCAGGATGAAAACTCTCGGAGGGGAACTTCCTCAACTTCTCCAGAAGCATCTACAGAAACGGCAGCAAACGCACCAGCAGCAGGCAGGATGCTTTCCCCACACAGTGACTGCAACTGTAGATTTTTTTTTTTTTAATGAAAACAGCCTGAAGCACACCCCACTGGGGGTCTGCCCATACCCCGGGCACTCACTGTCCCTGTGGCGCCAATCAGAGGACATTCCACTGCCAGCAGCTGCTTGGGGAGTTCTCCGGCCGCCCTGGGCTGTGCAGCCAGTGTCTAGAGGATCTGAGGAGCCAGTGGTTAACTGGCCTCCCCCATAACAGGCAACCAACAGGCTGCAGCTGGTGCACAAGGACGCCCCAGCTCTCCACCCCTCCATCAGGGGGCCTGCGGTCAGTCTTCACTGTCTCCCAGCAACCCCCAGTGGGACTGAGCCCACTCAGCCACAGTACTAACCTGTCGCTAGCATCTTTTGTGGATTTCCTTCGCTCGGCATCTCACTTCCCCACTTCCTGCCGGTGCTCATGGCAATTACCTTCGGAATAAACTACCTGCCGTCACATCCTGGTCTCCGTGCCTGCTCCAGAGGGGGCGGAAACCAACACTAACGGAAGAGCCTTTCAAAGGAAGATGGATGAACCACTTGTGGTAAACAACGGGACACACGCAGCGGCGCCATGCATCCAGAGTCCTGAGCACCAACATGGGGAAAGCAGAACCTAGAGTTTGTGTGGCTGTGGCTGCTTCTTTATTTATTTATTTATTTTTTGTTATGCTCATAAGATGAAGGCTCAGTTACAGCAACCACTTGGTGTCCATGAGGAAAGACTCAAGATAATCACAGAGATGCTTGGGCCGGCACTGTGGTGCAGTAGCTTAAGCCTCTATCTGCAGTGCCGGCATCCCATGTGGGCGCCAGTCCGAGTCCTGGCTGCTCCACTTCCCATCCAGCTCCCTGCAATGGTCTGGGAAAGCAGCAGAAGATGGCCCAAGTGCTTGGGCCCCTGCACCCATGTGGGAAACCAGGAAGAAGCTCCTGGCTCCTGGCTTCAGATTGGCCCAGCACCAGCCATTGCGGCCGTTTGGGGAGTGAACCAGCAGATATGATCTCTCTCTTTGTCTTTCCTTCTCTCTCTCTCTCTCTCTCTCTCCCTCTCTCTCTCTGTAGCTCTATCTCTCAAATAAATAATCTTAAAAAAAAAATCACAGGGGCCTGTGCTGTGGCGTAACAGGTAAAGCTGCCGCCTGCAGTGCCAGCATCCCATGTAGGCGCTGATTCGAGTCCTGGCTGCTTTACTTCCGATCCAGCTGTCTGCTGTGGCCTGGGAAAGCAGTAGAAGATGGCTCAAGTCCTTGGGCTGCTGTACCAATGTGAAAGACCTGGAAGAAGCTCCTGGCTTCAGATCGGCATAGTTTTGGCCATTGTGGACAACTGAGGAGTGAACCAATGGATGGAAGACCTCTCTCTCTCTCTCTCTCTCTCTCTGCCTCTCCTTCTCTCTGTGTGTAACTCTGACTTTCAAATAAATAAATAAATAAATCTTTTAAAAAAAAATCAGAGATGCTGGTGCTGACATTATTAAACCACTGTACCTCTAGGCCCTCTGATTTGTGAGGATAATAAATTAATAAAGTATATTAGGTGGGTTTTCTGGTACTTGTAGCTGAATACATTTCTAATTGGTATTTGCCTAAGTAAAATAGGTGGATGGGTGCTGTTGGCTGGAGCGCTTTGCTTAGGCAGGGCTGTAGTTTTGGGCAGGATCTGGAATGGAGCTGAGCTGCTCCATCGGTCACTGAGAGTTAAAATGCATGGGACAGAGTCAGAGTGGGGAGAAAAAAGGTGAAGAAGGGTGGGTGGTGGGTGCCCCCTGAAAGGATGGAGAAGGTCCGTGGGGACAGGAGAGGCCTCGGTGAGAACAGACAGAGCTAATGAAACAGAGAGCAGAAACCTCTAAAATGTTTGCTCTGGTGTGTGCAGTGCACATGGCCTCTCCCCAGCACAGTCTACACCGCTCACGCCCGCTCTGTGCAAGCCGACTCTGTTTCAGGGTGCTGAGTCATGCATCCAGGTCACTGAGGGCCAGGCACAGCTGACAATGAAGTCATCGTCAGTCCCCCCAGGCTTGCTGAAGGAGCAGGAAGACGGCAGAGGCAGAGGGGCACCCTGCAGGCCACCGAGCTCTGTGACTAACAGACCCGTGACCCTGCGCTGGCCATTTCGCCTCTCTGAGCTCCCCTTTTCCATCTGTGAAATGGACACAACTTTGAGCAGAACCTCAAAGGGCGTGGTGAGGACTTGCAGATAATATACGAGAAAGGTCCTTGGCCCAGGGCCTGGCAAGTGCATAATTGTTTATTATTATTACTACTGCTCTTAGTATAAGTAAAGAAAGGAGAAAGGGAGGGAGCTGGGTGAGCAGACAGGAACCTTTCCTGTTTGTTGGATCCTGTGGGACTACTCACCTCTCTTTGCCCTTTGACACTCCATGGCCCTTAAAATTTTGATTCTGCAATGAGAAAAGGAAAAGGGTATAACTGCTTTTGCACCTCAATCCTGCCTGCCCAGCTCAATTTAAATGTTGAAACCAGGCTGGTGCTGTGGCACAGCAGGTTAAAGCCCTGGCCTGAGGTGCCAGCATCCCATATGGGCGCTGGTTGGAGTCCCGGCTGCTCTTCTTCTGATCCAGCTCTCTGCTGTGGCCTGGGAAAGCAGTAGAAGATGGCCCAAGTCCTTGGGCCCCTCCACCCACGTGGGAGACCCGGAAGAAGCTCCTGGCTCCTGGGTTCAGGTTGGCGCAGCTCCAGCTGTTGCAGCCATCTGGGGAGTGAACTAGCGATGGAAGACCTCTCTCTCTTTCTGTCTCTACCTCTCTCTGTAACTCTTTCAAATAAATAAAATAAACCTTAAAAAAAAAAAAAAAAACTCTGGCTTTAAAAACAAAATACAAAATGTTGAAACCATCGCACTCCACAACGCCCAGGGCCTGGCCACGTCCTCGCAGGCCACCCTGTGTCCAGCAGACAGTCTAGGATGGAGCTCCTCTGCCCCGAAGGCACCCCCCAGTATCTGAGGGCCCGCCTCCCCGCGGGCTCCCCCCACAGATGGGAGCACAGTGAACGGCTGGTTTCCAGCCCCAAAGGGGAACCCTGAATCCCAGTGCTGAGACCCCAGTTCAGCAGGTTCCAGGAGAGGTCCCTGGGCCTCCTACCCCAGCTGGAGATGTCTGATGCAGCCGCAGACCCCGGAGGAGGCTGGGCCACAGACTCAGCGCAGTTTGAATTCCTTCTACCCAGAGGGACCTTGCGAATCCTCAGTGGGTGGCGGGGATTACCCTGTCCCTGCAAAGCCCCTGCAGCCTGGCCCTCGTGTACCATCAAGGCTGATCACCTAAGGGGAGAGAAATTGAAACTGGTCCTGGGCAGAACGAACAACTTTGCATTAGTTTTCCATTGCTGGGTGGGAAATGACGACCCACTTCGTGGCTTACAATAGTGCAAAGTCGTGTGGGTTTCCACCGGCTGGGCCCACGCACACAGCTCAGTGGGATCCTGTGCCCAGGACTCACAAGGCACAGATCAAGATGATGGGTGGGTTAACAGTGCTCACCTTTCAAGCTCATTCAGATTTATGTCCAAAGCTCCCATAGGGAAGTTCACACTAACCTTCCCCCACCCCCGCGCACGTGCGCAGCCCTACCTCCCCCTCCCCTGGACACTCCAGCGTCCACCCTCCCCAGCCCTGCCTCCCCCTCCCCTGGACACTCCAGCGTCCACCCTCCCCCAGCCCTGCCTCCCCCTCCCCTGGAGCGTCCAACCCCCCCAGCCCCTTCTCCCCCTCCCCTGGAGCACCCACACCTCTGGCAGCCCCACCTCCCTCTCCCTGGAGTGTCCACACCCCTGCCAGCCCCGCCTCCCCAGGGGCTGGCTTTGTTGCTCTGCTATGGCCCAGGTTCACGCCTGCCTGATCGGTTCCTCACACCCTCTGCCCTCTGGAGAGCTCCCTGCGGGCCTCTGAGTGGAGGGGTTGAGACGGAAGTTGGCACACGCGTGATTCCCTCTGCGTGCTCCTCTGGGCCTGTTTTTGTGAGGTGCACACACACACCCTGCATGCCCTTCCAAGGCCGACACCCACAGCCCCGCTTCTGTAAATTCGCATTTCTATTTCCTCTGAGTCATTTGAAAGAAAGCACACAATTGTCCATCAATATACAGGTGCTCTGTGCTTCTGCTTCAAGAACCCCAAAACAGAGCCTGTCACGGCAAGCAGTCCACTCCCTTTTCCCCACATCGACCTGGGTCAGCCACGCCCGATGGTCACGGTGTAGACGGCTAAAAGTCTGCATCCCTCGGCCATCTGCACCTTGTCCCTCCTTTCAACAGCTCAGTCAGGCTGATAAGAAAGGATTATTTCAGGTGATGTCTAGTTTCTGCTTTTATAATACTTAAAAACAGTGATATGTGGGGCCAGTGCTGTGGCACAGCAGGTAAAGTCGCTGCTTCCAGCACTGGCATCCCCTATGGGTGCTGGTTCAAGTCCTGCCTGTTCCACTTCCGATCCAGCTCTCTGCTATGGCCTGGGAAAGCAGTGGAAGATGACCCAAATCCTTGGGCATTTGCACCCACATGAGAGACCCGGATGAAGCTCCAGGCTTCTGGCTTCTGGTCGCCTCAGCTCTGGCCATGGAGGCCATTTGGAGAGTGAACCAGTGAATGGAAGACCTCTCTCTCTGCCTCTGCCTCTCTGTAACTCTGCCTTTCAAACAAATAAATATTAAAAAAAAAATGATATGTGTCCCAGTGTGTGTTTAAATAGTTTCACTTTTTAATATTGAGAATTAAATCATGATTGGCATAGAGAAAGTTGAGGCAGAGAAAAGAACAAATTCAAGGGGCTGGCATTATTGCATAGCAGGTAAAGCCACCACCTGCAACACCAGCATCCCCTGTGGACACCGATTCGAGTCTCAGCTGCTCCACTTCCGATCAGCTCCCTGCTAATGACCTGGGGAAGCAGCAGAGGACAGACCAAGTGTTTGAGCCCATCACCCATATAGGAGACCTGGGTAAAGTGAAGAGCCAAAGTGACTATTTTGAAACAATAAAAAACAGCCACCGTTTCCCATAGCAGACCTGAGTCCTTGTAAAAGCAGGCATTCAGGCATTCCGGAGATATCAAAGCTTACCAAGGACAGCTAGCTCAGCAGACCAAGGACAGCTCAGTAGAGATTAACAAATGAAGTAACTCCCTGAACCCAAGCCAAACGGAGACCCCCCTCCCGCCCTGCCCAATCACAAAAGGCCCTGCACCCTAAGCCCTTGCTGAGGTATCTTCCCTTTAAAAGCTCCCTGAACAAAGACCTGGGCTTTCCTCCTTCCTCCGCTGTGCCGGTTGGTTGGATGAGGTCCCTGTCACGGCTTGTACCTTTTTAATAAAAACCTTGCTTTTGCATTTTGGTGTGATCGGGTCGCTGATAGCTTCTTGGGGATCTACTTATCTGGGCATAACAAAAGCTTCTGGCTTCAGCCTGGCCCAGCCCCGGGCCATTGTGGTGACTTGGGGAGTGAATTAGTGGATGGAAGATTCTCTCTGTGTCTCTGTCTCCCCCTCACTTACTATAATGGATGGATGGACGGGTGACGGATGGGTGGGTGGATGGGTGATGACTGGATGGATGGGTGATGGATGGATGGACAAATGGATGGTGACTGGATGGATGGATGGATGGATAGGCAGGCGGGTAGCAGGCTGAACAACCTCTAAAGGCTTCTCCGAGGCGGAAAATTTGAAAACACAGCTCCTCCCGGGTCACAGTAATCTAAGCCCAGGTCAGAACTCCGGAATTTTACAACCTGCCGCCAGCACGCGGGGATCGCGGGACATGCGCAGCCGCTGGGGCGGCGCGGGGCGTGCCGGGACTTGTAGTCCCTGAGGTGGACGTCTCTCTCCCTCTGTGGGACTCGCTCCTCGAGAGACCCCCAGGTTCTGAATCTTCCCGCAGCTTCTCTCCCTCTCTCAAGGAGACGAGCGCATCTGGACAGACGCCACTCCTACCTTCGGCCGCAACATGACCTGATTCCCCACGGCCCTGTCCCAACGGCCGCCGCGCAGCGCGAGCCTGTGCGTCCCGTCGCCAAGGCGACGGAGGGCGCCCGGCTCGCCGCTCTGATTGGATGAGCGACGCGCCCTGCGCTCGGCAGGGTCCGCAGGCCCGGGTCCACCCTGGAGGCTCCTGCGCATCCCCGCAGCCTGGTCCGGCGACCTGCTCGGCTTTCCTCCCCCAGTGCCGACGCTCAGGGCTCACTACCAGAGCCCGGCTGCCCTCCGCGGGCACTCCCCCAGCCGCGCCGCCGTGAGCCAAGAGCGCTGAGCGGAAAAGTGGCCGTTGCGTTTCCTACCCTCAAGGGTGCACAGTCTCCTTCCTCGGCAAGTTTCCTAGACGCCTGGTCAGCCGGCGCGTGGTGACGCGGGCCCCTGTCGAAGCAGCTTTGCAATTCTCAGGCCCCGCCTGATGCCCGACTCGCCCCACGCCCACAGCGGCCTCCGGACCAGTCCGCTAGAGCCCGCCGCCTCCAGCCCACTTCGTTCCCCTACATCCAGCTCCGCAAAGCACAACTCTGACCCCGCCTCGCCCCCACTCCCTGCGTACAGCCCCCCAAGGCTCCCCATCGCTGTCAAGACGAGGACGCCACGCAGTTCCCCAGCCGGACCAGCAAGGCCCTTACTGGTCTGGCGCCTGAGGACCTTGCCAGCCTCATTGCCGTGTGTGCCCTGCTCTTCCCCAAAAGGTCTGCTCTCCCTGCGGCTACCAGCGGGACCCTCGCTTCCACCGCACACTCCCGCACGCGCGCACACCGCGGCTGCTCTCGGAAGTTCCCCCTGCGGCTGGCTCTTCCCACTCCCTCCGCCCACATCTCAGCCTGAAGGTTTTTGCAGAGAGAGGAGGGGGGGAAGAGGAGGAGGAAGAAGAAGAGGAAGGGGGAGGAGGAGGAGGAAAGAGAAGAAAGATGGAGAGAGGAAAAGAGGGAGAGAAAAAGGAAGGGAGGGAGGGAAACTGCAACCCACTAAACTAGAGATGGAATTCGTTGGTGGGACATTGGATGAGGCAGAGTTGGTACAAGTTTGGACACTCAGATTTTAAAATGGGGCAGGAGCTAAGGGAGTGAACCAGCAGCTGGAAGCACTTGCTCTCTCTCTCCCTCTCCCCACCTGTCAAATAATGTTTAAAGGACAGCTTTTTAAAAGCTGTCACTGATACTGCTACTACTGGCCAAATGAATTCTCAACAGACATCTACTTCATTGTATTATTTGCTTCAGTTTCCAAGGCCTCCTGGGTGAAATCCTATAGCTGACTGAGCTCGGGTCCACAAGCTGTGCTTTAACTGCCGGAGCCCAAGCCCGAGCCCGAGCCCTGCTTCTCGCCCCACACAGTGGCGGAGTGGAAGATGCCGCTGTCTATACATGTCTGGCATGGATGTCCACCAATATTGTTTTCACTTAAGTATCC